CCTGGTGCAAAACAAAGCTTTGGTCTGTAAAGCTAGTTTCCCTGCTGACAAGAACTTTACAGGGATTAAAGTTTTCTATAAGTCATTGTTTAGATTGTATTGAGGTTTAAAATCATGCATAATTAAGAGCATGGCTGCCTTTAAGGAAAGGCAGAGGCCATCATAGGACAGTCCATGACACTAAGACGTTTGCACGGCCTGCCTCAGCTTCACTTACACTTCACCTCTTTGCTAGTTTTTGGATTAGCCAGGAGTTAGGTACTGTACCTGACGTCTTCTAACTGAAAAATGCCGACGGCTAGAGCTGCTAGGTTCATGAGGGCTTAAAGTTGTCACTCTTTCAGATCAGAGTGCATGAGGCTCTCTTGAAGACATTTTGAGCACTTTTTCTGCAGACTTTGACTGAAGGAATTATCCACAGTTCATAGCATGGTGACGTTAAATGCAGGGTCACCAAAAGAGCCAAGAAGCATGAAAAAAGGAAAATAAACAAGCATGGAGGGAGTCACCAACCCTAACTTTGCAAGAAAAAAGAAGTCTACATGTAGCTACAGACCTGATGATTCATAGCTAGAACTGTGAGCGGTTATTTGTCCTACAATAACATGATGATGAATTCAGAAGGTTACGCGATACGTGACAGAGTGCTGTCCCAATCCTGTTCGTACCATTTCGAGCCCTCATGTCCTCGTACTCTTGCACTGAATCACTTACCAGCTGACCTAAGTTATGTCTGTGAGGGTTTATTGCTTAAGACTAAGAGCGGAGATAGGGACTAGACTCAACTTCAAAACTGTTGTTTAGGAAACATATGTGTGACATTATAAAGGGTTTGCCCATCTTTATATACAGTCTATGGCATAAAGCTAAGTTCAGCAGTATGACTTTGTGACAGAAAAGAAGTCCAGTCAATCCAACAAAACAGAAAAACTGGTGGTATGGAGTTTTAAAAATGGACATTAACCAAAGCAAAGAGAATCTGATGAAAAGATGTCATTGGTTTCAATGGAGGAAATGTAATTACATATTTTTTGGGGGTGTGTTTTGAAATTCTCTTTGTGTCAAACAGGCATTTAACAACAAATTGCTCTACATATTACCAGCAATCATGACACACACCCCATGGTGTTGACTCTTATTTTATGTCTTTTAGCAAAAGAAACAAAAAAACACTTGAGTGTTACCAGAAGAAGAGATGGAGGATCTCTGTCTGTATCTCCCTCCTGAAGGAAACAACTTTTAATAGCCCTTTAATCACCACTCAGAGGAGTACTGCTGTTGACCCACAGTCTTGCCAGACAGATTAACAGTTATGTTGAGTTTGTTCTTATTAACTACAAACAGTACGACACACTAAGCAATAAAGCAATTTTTTTTTTTAATGTTTTCCACAAATGAGCAATAAAAAAGACGCAGCGTATCATCATTTACAGTCCCCAGATATTTGTATCCAGTTACTACTTCAGTGCCGTCGTCGTTAATAGCTGCTTGTTAGTGTCTCTTCCTACTCACTGTGAAGATCAGCTCTTAGTTTTCTTGGTAAACTAGCATGACCCCAATTAACAAACTCTTCAACATATCTGCAATACTTTGTTTCATACTCTGTGATAAAACCAGTGAACACATACGCAGTTAATCATTAAAAACATCAGAAATCACATTGGTTTTTGGAGCTTTACTTATACTGGGAAACAGCAGCCAGGATGTCACAGCCTCTGCTGCTTCAATTTTGATCATTGTTTCTTAAATCTTCCTTTTGTGATTCCCCAGAATTTATGGATATGCAATACCAAATGGCTGGAATATATTTGAGTGTAAGCTCAAGACAAAGGCACTTGTAGCAGAGTGGGTACTTACACACTTACAGCATGTCTGGCAAAACATTTGACTTTTAACAAAAGATCTCCACATATTTGACTTCAGAAGTTGCACAAAATTGGATTTCCACTTGATGTGAGGCTGATCTTATAAATTTATTTACTGTCACAACAAACCTGAGTCAAGTGTAACATTTCAAAGTGTTGAGAGTGAGAATGCGTAAAGACTTGTTATTCCAGCATAAAGGGCTGGATAAATGGTTGAAACATTCACCCTCTGCCATTCAGAGTGATACAAGTACAAATACAAAAATGATTTGAAAAGTGAACAAAGAGAAAGGGTAACAGTATCCGCTTTCAGAATTACAAATAGTGTTAAGTGACAATTAATTTAATTTTTAATTCAGACCAGCACATTTGGAACTAGAAGTGTGGTGTCCACACTACTTTTGGGATTCAGGAGCCACTAATTTTAAGATCCCATACTGTGCCCCTTGTTGATAAATTTGTCTAAGTCTTGCATGTCTCCAAAATTTTCAACTCAAAATACTGCAAGGATGGTTGATTTTTACTATAACAGTGTAACCACTAGTTTAGCGCTGGTTTAAACAGGTTGTTTCAGCATCTGTAGCTTAACATGCTGCTGAGCTGCTGCTGTCCATGGCCCCTTCAGGAAGAAGACTCTCTGCATTGACTGTTCAGTGCCAGAGCAGAGCAGCACATTGGACAACACAGTCGATGACAGTGACTTTAATGATTATGTTAGACTAGAACATTGTGTTGCTTCTAACTTTTTCCATGAGTTTACATTTTACATTTTGAATTGACAGCACAGCTGTTGTTTTCAGCTCATGTGCTTGGTGAGTCTGTCAGATGACATCAGTAGTTTCGTGTTGCAGAGCCACAGCTTGGAAATGGCTCTAAAGTGAGTTAACATGTAGACTTAATGGATCAATATTTCTTACTTTTTCAGTTGTCAAACTGAAAAATACAAAAATGAGAACAACTTTATTGGTAACTTGGCTGTATTAAAATGCAGTATATGTGGGCAGGGGAGAAGATCGCAGAATTAAACACTAGCTGAGTTTAGGTGGCACTGAGGCACAACTTTCCACACAGTGTTTTTTTATTGGCTTCAAATTGCTATTACAGTTTCCTCAGAGCTCTGAACTGTGGGCATACCATCAAAGCTAATGATAACGTTAGCCCCATTAGCCTCACAGTGTGCTGGAGTTTCTTATTGTTGTGAACATTGCAGTCAACAATAAAAGTAAGCTATTGGATCTCCAGTTCATCAGATGCTGGGAATGCTTCAAGACTGTTGTGTTCACTCTTGCAACCAACAGCAGAACATTCAGTGTGCTTTGCTCATGGCAGACAAATTTTAGAGTTAGCAGAAGCAGCTCTAGAGAGTAAATAAACCTGGCAGACTGTGAGGCAGCTGCTCATTTTGAATGGCTCAGGCAGTGACGGGGCAGGATTATGCAAATGTGCAACTCCAACAGTATTGGTTACCCAGTTTCCACGAAGATACTAATTAAAATACTTATTTGCCTGTAAAACCAGGGGTTACGATCTCGTCAAAGGGGGCTAGAAGAATGATAGATAGTATTTTCATATTTTCACAGCTTTTATTTTACACCTCCAAGTTTATAAAACATGTAAAACACAATGAAAATGTATTTTCACCTTATGAGACCTTTAAAATAACTTGGTCCTTTCAGTAATTAGCTCTAAAATATTGATACTGTCGGCAAATTATCCAAAAGAATCCTCATAATACATATTGTCCGTGACATATGAAAGCCACGAAGCATAATCAGAGCTATACATCTTAAAGAAAGTAGAAATGATCGATGCAACAACAACAAAAACATTAGAATTCATAACCTCCAATTTTTTTAAATAGTCAATGTTAAGCTATTGACACTGGCAAGATTTTGTACTTCTGAATTCCAAAACAAGACATGCAGTTTTTCAAATTTGAAAAATGTTATTCTGGACAGTATCTCATGCATATACATGGGTGTTTCATCTTTGATTGTCCAGAGTTGTTTCATGTCCCCAACCTGTGCTGCACAACAACAACAGCAGCGAAACTTCCGTCAAATTGCACATCCTCGCCTGGTGTCAACAGAAGAAGGCACATGCTTCATGTGGTCGGCAGCCCCAGCTGTGGAAAGAGGCTCACAGTTGCATCTGATCTCAGTGTACTCAGCTGCACCACAGACTCCCAAACCTCACAAAAGGGGATGCTGTGTGTGTGTGTTTGAGATTGTTTGTGTGTGGGTAGGGTTTACTGGGCTTTTCAACATTAGACCACGTTTCACCCTCTCGTTTGGGCTTACACATTTGTTTGGGCTCACTAAGCCTCCTTTGAAACCATTGCAAACCACATGAAAATGTGGTAATTCATGGTTAAATGCATTATTAATTGCTTTTCCCAGAGTGCTATTAATTTTGGTTTATGCTGGGAGTTGTTTGCAGTCCAACCAATGTAACATCAAAGCCTTAATTTACCACAATTTCACCAGTAAAAACCAAGAAGAAAAGCTGCGGACACAAAGCCCTATATTCCCATTCTGTTGTGGTCCAAAGCCCACATCTCTGTTATGTGTGTTTAAATGAATAAGTGCAGTACAGTACATCACCCTACATAGCTTCCAACAATAAAAGCAGCCATTTACCAAGGCAAAGAGAATCTGATGAAAAGATGTTATTGGCTATTTTATGGGAAATACTAGATCTGGTGTTTTTAGAGCTTTGAATCAACAGACTGAGAAAGGGATGCAGTCAAACTCCAGCTGTTTGGTTTCAAGACAGCCACAGCAGATGGGGCCCTGTAGTCAGGGGAACTATATACAATCCAGCTGGACCACGAGGAAGAAAAACAAAAGAACAAACAAAAAAAGTATTTATTTATTCATTTATTTATTATGATAATGACTGATTTGGCTTGCTTCATCAATGCATCGAAAAAGGTCCTCTGCGTTCTTTATCAGTCTAAATGAATGAGGAACTGACTCTATGCACTTTGATTTAAAACATTAATCTGCGCTCTGTTTTGGACTTTGGATGGTCACGTGTTGCTCTGTCCCTCACTCCTATTGGCCAATTCATATTAAACGAGTTCCGGTCCCTTTCAAGCTGTTAAAGACACGGAAGTTAGTCCCTCCGAACGACACAGTTCCTCCGTAATTAGCGACATTTTTTAAACAACTGTGTGTAAATTATGCATTTTACATGTCGATAACACTACGTGTTCTAAAGTGTTTAGAAGTGTCGTGCACGAGTGTTGTTGATTTTTCTCGCGGAGGAATCCATGTGCAGCCGCTGGCTCCGGTGTGGAGGGTGATTTGAATCGCTCTCTGCTCCTTCTTTATTTTTATTTTACACGAACGTGCATTTTGATATCAATAGCGTTTTTATTTATGCCCGCGTTTTTACTTACGTGTAAAGGACAGACGTCGATATTATTTAGCTTAAATTTACAAGGTAGGTGTTTGACTTGGCGTCACTGCGTTATCTCCTACACTGCTGCTGCTAACGTCTAATGTGAAGAGAGGGTCTAACAGGCTAGCGTTAATTAACACTGGTGTTAGTTTTATTTAGTTAGTCGACAATAATACCCTAACGTCGTCGGTAGAAGCGATACTCCAGCTATTAAACTACTTTTAAGTTAATTATTCTACAAATAAGCGCATTTATTATGAAGCGCAGGTCGTAATTAACCGACCTGAGAGTTAGCACGTTTCCTTGTGTTTACTAGGACTACTATGCTAAGTATGTTAGCATCCAACAAAAGTCAGGGGAAACTTTCCTTTTGTGGCTTTATGGACTTTCTAATGAAGTTTTGTTAACCGAGCTGTTGAATTCATGTTGTTGTTTGCTGTTGTAGCCTACAGGCATGCCCTTATGTGTTGTTGAAATACATGTGCCGTCTCTTGTCAGCCCCTAGTAGCTTGCATTATCACCGTCCTTGTGGTTCACCTGCTCATGAATTTATTTTATTCATATTGTCAATGCAGATGGCCACATTAGAGATAACCACTGCAAGTCCAAAGGGGGAGCAGAAGGAGAAAGTGCTGTCTCCCTCAGAAGAGGCGATCCCCCCAGTTTTAGATGAATCTTTACCCCCTCTGAATTTCTCTGCGCTCACACCTTCTCAGTTTGGCATCTCTGTCCAGAGCTTTACCCCAGCATCATCAACAAATTGCAAAGGTGAGAGGACTATTATTTATGTGGTGCCAAGTTGCTATTGCCTTTGTGAAGCCTTCAATAATCAGAAGGTTTTACTTGCTTACTGGTTGAGGTAATTTTGAAATTTTAATACAGTGTGTACCACAAGGTTTGCTGTAAACTGTAATATCCGTCCAAATAGAACAAGAACACACCACTGTTGCATACAATTAGAGACAGTGTTTGTCAAGACATAGTTTGTATTTCTTCTATATAGTACCAATCAAGTGTTATTGAGCAGTATTCGTTTCATCTTGCATCAGATAAGTCTCGTCTAGCACAAATAAAAGCAAGGCGGAGGTCCAACATTGGTGTCCGGGGCTCTCCAGAGACCAATTCCCTCATCCGCTTCATGGCGCAACAGAGGATGAAGACTCCACCAACCTCCCAAACTCCAGAGGTGAGATGTTTCTCAGGTTGCACAGCTGGCACCCCTTTGTGAGAGGCAGTGTTGATATTACTTTGGCTATCTGTTCACTAATACAATGCGTGACTCTGCAACATGTTTTTCTTTATCAGACACACACAGTGACTGTCACTACTACATCTACAGTGATGTGAAAATACATTTGACCACTCCTGATTTATTTTTATTTTTTTGTCTTCCTTTGTGTATCTCATACTAAACCATGACCTAGATAATGTCCCTCAATGTGGATCTGTGGAGTCCTAGAACCTTAGTAACAGCATTGTAACCCTTCCCAGACTGAAATATTTCAATCACCTTCTTTCTCAGCTTTCTGGAGTTCATCTTGATTTTAGCATAATGAGCTACTTGTGAGACTTTTTAGTCAGCCTCATGCTGCTGACAAGGGTCTATTGCAGTCATGGTTTGATGTAACAGGGCTGGTAGTAATTCTGGATGTGTCTGGTCCAGCTGCAATTCGGAGTTCAGTTTGTTGGTTTGGTAGTTTTTCACCCGAGCCCCGTTGGTTTCAGATAACCTTTTTGTTTCAGAACATAGATTTATCAAACTTGTATTCAGTGTTTACTCAGGTTGCCTTTGTTTTATGTTGGAGTTACTTTAAAGATATGACACAGTTCTGTGGAAGATACAGAAAGAAATGGCATGTTGTTTTGTTTGTTTTTTTTCCACAACACTATATGAACTGCGCTCTTATAAAAATTATCTCCAGCCTCACTAGGTGACTACAGATGAACCTTACACAGATTTAACATCTCATATTCACATTGGCACACAGTAAGATATTGAGATTTTTGAAAATCTGTTTAATCATTCCTTAAAAATAGTTGCTGTTGAGCTTTGTCTGCAATACATATTTGAAAATAATTACGCTTTGTGTTAACAAAGACCTCCTTTAAGCACACACTGTGGAACTTCACATCAACTTCAGTAAAATTAACATATGACCAGACGACAGACAAGCTGTCATGTCCGACTTGTCTAACACATGTAACACGCAGCTGCTTATGCAGGATTGCTGCTGTTTTGTGTAACACTGAGTTGCTGTGTGAAGGGTTATCAACACAAAGTTATCGTCGACAGTAGCTTGATGCATCAACATTAGCATAATGCAGCAAATGAAGTGTGCAAAACAGAAAATGATGGAGCTCCTGCTGTAACAATGCAATTTGAATGACAGAATGACTTCCGGGAAATGGTGGTGAATAAAGCAGTATTATGTACAAGGGATTACTGTGGTGCTGAAAAGTTTGGCAGCACGCCACATGTGGATGATTGAAGGAGAAACACTTTACAAAAGCACTTTTTTTCTTTTTTTTTTTTTTTTTGATCAATTAAGCCTGTGCTGTTTAATGTGCATTGGTACATTGTTCATAAGAGATAACTGAAATCTACATGGAAATTAATTCAGACTCACCCATGTATAAGTTTAACAAGTGTGGCTAAGTTCAAATTCACATGCTCTTACATTAAATTCCATAAATCAGAAACTGGCTTGCATGATGAAATGGCAAACAGTGGAAATGTTTAAATTTACACAGCTAAGCAGTATTCCTTGGTGAAAAGACTGCATTACATTTGAGTAACTGGGCTCTTTTTGCTGCTTGTCTTTAATACAAATACTAGTGTGAGCAAATACACAGGAGGATCCAAATTATTAGCCCTTTTCAGATATGGAGTACATAACATTGCTTCTTTGTCAAGCTGTTAAAAGTGATGGGATTTAGACATGGGTGACTTCATCATACACGTTCCTCACAGCTTTATGAAAACATGCCAAGACTGTTTTGGCATCTTACACATGGCACTACTCAGTACAAGAAGGTAAGACGTTAAGCTGCCTGGTTATCTCTCGTTTAGTGTGAAGGGAGGGCTTGGCACTTGACCAATTTCCAGCCAATTTTGTAGAAATATATTAATTTGTGTTGTTATCCCAAAAAATCAATTTGAGCTTAGGTCACAGCTTGTTAAGTGTCACTTCCTACACTGTTTTGATTGGTAGTCACACACTATATTAACAAGTCTTACATCCACACTTCATAATGTTGCGTGTGCCTAGACATTAGTGTGATTGCATTCATTAGGCTTTTTAAATCCTGAAAGTGAAAGTACCAAGTCCGCCTTAGTAAGACTGGTGTTACTTTTGTGCAAGAAGTGAGCAGGGTGCTTATTCAGACTTCAGAGCAAAAGGTGAAATTGCTACCAGATTAATGGAGAGGAGTGTATGCCTGAAAGCGGCTATATTGTCTTCACAAAACAAGTCTTGAAAGATCAATGAAGAGAGAAAGGTCAAACCAAGTGAAAGTGTAATAATGTTTAAATCCCTTTCTCCTCTGCCATGTCGAATACATTAACATGTAGCTCAGTACATCACTGCTTTTTGTAATATTATAAAGTAACAACCAACAGAGAACTCATTAAATTGCTACCTCACTCAATATTTAATTATCCATGACTTAAACCACGTAGGCCTGAGAGTCTGCTGTTAAATGTTATTGGTTTTTATCTCAAGAGAGAGCATGTCAGTCACAGTGTTCTCAAATTGTAAGTCTCCAAAGAAAGATGGCATCCACTGACATTTTTTAAATGGTTTGAGAGGAAACTAGACATCTGTACTCTTGGCTCCATTGTCAGGCATTGGAAAATCTAGCTTGTGATGAAAATGTTCACTCATCGCAGGTCTTTTCACCCAGAGCTGGTGAAATAGTATAAACCGCAACAAAGCCTGCAGTAAAACTACAGTGTAGTGGCCCAGTGGGTTACATGGAGAATTTTCACTCAGAAAAATGAAATTTGCGTCCCAGGTGAGTGAACATGGACTTTAAGCTTGGCTATGTTCATGCATCAGATGTGCATGCGCGTGTGGTGGGAGGAGCCTATTCCAGACTTCTGCCTACTGCAGCTCTAAGATAGAACACAATTCTTGTTTCTTAGGAGAAGGACGGGAGGTGGGCACTGAAAAACTGAGTTTGGGGAACAAGTCTGCTCACAAACTCAAATGTACTAAGACTTTGAGGAAAACAGCGCGTTTAGCGTTATGTTGGTAACACTATGCATGTTTGGACCACAGTGAGCAGATAATGGGCACTTGAGAGCTGCAATATGTTGCCAAAGTGGTTAAAGAAGTTTCTGCAGACTTTGGGTTCTTTTTTCCACCGTGAAAATGACCAATTCTCAAGTCAGCATGAGGTGAGTCTGATACGAAAGGGATGGATTTTGCACCAGATTGCACACAAAGCAAAGTATCCTATTAGAGTGAATGGTAATGACAGACTATTCTCAATCATGCGGGTTGCTGCGACTTTCCTGTTAGATGATGCTCAGCCAAGCAAACCATAACACTCCTGGACTGTGTGTGCAAGAACTATGTGATAGATGTGCTGCCTCTCAGTAATACCACTTTTGTAATTTCAGAAGTCTATGACCTGTCAAGCTGCATCACTGAGCAAATATGTTTATTTTTGCTGTCTCAACTCTCAGCTTGTCAGAAGTAGCCCCTTCCTTCCCCGGGTCGCCTCCACTCTGAGGCAGAAGATGGCCTCCTTCCAGAGCCTGATGGATGTGGAGGAGAGTGACGCCTGTGATCCAATGCCAACGCAGGACAGCAACACTGGAGGATGCATCAAGACAAGAGATTATCTGTCTGGTGAGGCTGCCTCATTGCCACAGGATTAATAGTTTCATTTCTCAGCGAGGATCTATGCCAGTAGGATTTCTTTATGATGTCTGGAGGCACCGTTCAAAAGCAGTGGATTAATGCATTGCACAGTATAAGCCTGCCTGTGACAACATCTTGCAGCAGTCATTTCTTCAGAGCATGGTCATCTTCTTAAATGGGCCAGTTTCCGAGCTGTTTGTTGCTGTAGTGAGACTTTATCTCCCCTCCTTTGATCAGTTTTTTTCCCAAGCTGGGGTTTTTTTTTTGTTTTTTTTTGATATGTTTATTTGATATGTGATATTTTATTTTTATTTGACTGAGGTGTCCCCAAGTCCCATTTGTTTTTGTATGTTTATATAATGTTCCTTTTTGATGCCTGTTTTTTTTTTTTTAACCTCTCAGATGGAAACAGCTGTGGTGGAGGGAAGGAGAACAACCCACCGATGATGCCCACACCCAGCAAGAGGAGGCGTGTGGGCCCCCTCAACGGCTGTAGTGTTGAGATTAAAGAGGCCAGCGCTCCTATCCTTCACTCCAGTTGGAAGGAGCAGGAGGTACACTCACTCTGACTCACTCAGTTACTTGACTGCTGTAAATAATTTAACTAAAAGGTTTTACTTCTCTGTACTTGGCTTCCATTGAATCTGCCGATTATTTTTAACTCCTGCATGAGTACTAGATTTCAGTGCTAAACAGGATTTTATGCAAGTCTCTAAAAAGAGAAAAAAAAAAACAAGCACTCTAAAGCAAACCCAAGTTTGTGCTGTTTGTACAAGTGCTGGCTATTAAGGTTTGTTTATTTATTTATTATTGCATTTTGTAAACTCTGTTCTTCCACTTCTTATCCTGTAAGATGCATTATCAAGTTCTAAGGCTTCTGTATCCTTCTAAGTACTAAGAAACACAGTTTGTACCCATCCATGGTAATGGTGTTCCTGCTGTCGTAATACAGTGCAGTAGAATGAAAACGGTGGGAATTCATTCGCCATATCCACAGGTGGATGAAGAACCCATAATGCTGGTTGTGACACAACAACCACTGACATCAAGGAAGACTATGGAAGAGGCCCAAGCTATGCTTATTTCCCCCACGCCTTCATGGTAGCTTTAAGCTCAATTCCTCTTCCCCTTGTAAGAAACCTGTAGTGTAAGACACATCTGTAACATACACATGCAAATGTTGCAGAAGTTGGGAGAAAGTGGTGCAGACTTTCAGTGATCTGCTGCAACAGTCTTGACCTCTGGTATGATCCTGTAATTTGAGCATCACATTGTCTTTTCCATGATTCACACCCAGCAATGAGCTGCTGTAACCAGATACAGTAAGAAAATTTTAAATTTAAGGGAAACAAAGTGTAATGTTAACTAACCAAGACACAATTGTCTGAGTGAAATATGGGATGGCCTTTGCCCTTGGGCTCAGTGTAGCACACTTCTGTTGCAATGTGGTGCAGAGGAGCAGTGAAATGTGGATCAGCTGCAGCCACACAGCTGGTAATAACCAGGCAAACCTATGATAGTGGTACCCTGCTTTAGAGTTGAGCCACGCTTGTGACAGTCTCCTCCCTCAACCAAGTGCTGTCTTGCTTTAAAGTGCTCAACATGTGTGGTCATGTAGGCAGCTAGAAATGATGCTTCATACTCACAAATGTTACTATCTCAGCTCTCTGGTTTGGAGTGTTTTTTTCCCCACTCCTACATTACTGTTCTGACTTTCATCTACCATATAACATCCTCAGCCTCTGATCTTTTCCATGGACATTTTGGAGCGTATTTGTTGTGTTGAACTACTGCACATGCTTACTGAGCATTTCCTGCTCTGCTGCTCAGTCGTGGATCAGTTTTAAAAATTGCAAGGAAAGAAAGCACACAGACTGAGAGCTGATTAGATGAATTTATTAAGATCATTTCACACTCCAGTGTCCTTCAAGATTTTATGTTCTAAAATGTATGCTAGAGCTGGATAAAATGTAAATGTCTTTTACTTAACAACATGTTCTGTAAAGCTCCCTGTAGTACAGTTCAACAGAATGAAGGATCTCATATATTCTCTCCTAACAGGATGGTGTCTTTGAACTCCAAAGCCCCAGCCGACCACCACCTGATAATCCTGCAGCTGCTTCATCACCCCAGCGTTCCTCCCCCTTCATCATCCCGTCTCTCCCTTCTCTGTTTGAGATGAAGCCTACAGGTAAACACTCACTGCTCTCTGTGGCCTTGCTACAGGATCTGGCCTTTCATCTTAGTTTAGCCTTGCCTTTGAGGCTGAGTGCACAGTGTTATGCTTGTTCCAGGCTAGCTTAGGCTGCTAGGCTGCATTGTTGTGTTTCCATAGAGGAAATTTATGTTCAGCTGTTTTTGTTTTGAGTTTTTGTGTTGGAAAACACCTTGTGTGTTTTAACTACAAGTGTCACGAGTTTAAAATAGCTGGCTGATGTCAGATGAAGGGATGAGCGCCCATCACTCATTAGTTCTGTGCGTGGAATGGCAAATTACGCTGTCCCAATATCGGTATAAAAGTCTAGTTGTTTAAAAATACGGCAACTTCTCAAATTCATTGGAACAATGTCAGCTTCATTCAATGTAAGTAGGTAATCCTTAAATATCTAAGACATAGTTAAATTTTTCAGCTTAACTTGTTAAATCCTGATGTCATGCAAAATATGCTCTGATTGATTACTGGCTGTTTTCTATTTCTTTTACTGTTTTTTTTTGTATTTGACATGAGAATTTTCATAAAGCCATAAATCTATAAACTTTCTTTTGGTATTGATTAATGAAAAATTATCTTTTATACAGAGCAATGTGGATTTTATTCCTGCCTGAGACATAGTGTACTGTAATTTTCGGACTATTGAGCGCACCAGATTATAAGCCGCACCCAATAACTTTAAAAAGAAAAGAAATTTGTACATATATAAGCCGCACTTGTCTACAAGCTGCAGGTGTCCACGTTGTAACATGAGATATTTACACAGAAAGATGTTACACAGAAAGATTTTTTTAACTTTTAATTAAATATGTACCGTTAACATACACGAATACACACCGTAAATGCTTTTTTTCCAAGCAGTGCCTGTAACACGGCTGGTTTAAAAAAAAAAAAAAAAAATACAGTAGCCTACTAGGAAAAGTCATTGATTGCTATCTTCATCTTCCTCCTGCACACTAAAACCACTAAAGTCGTCTTCTTCAGTGTCGGAATTGAACAGCCTCAGAATTACTTCATCACACACATCACACTTCCTCAGTCTCTCTTTCGTTGTCGTTTTCAACGTCACTTTTGTCTCTAGGCAAATTCATAAAAATCCATAAATTAGCTGCATCATTGTTTATGCCGCAGTGTTCAAAATGTGTGAAAAAAGTAGCAGCTTATTGTCCAGAAATTACGGTAATAAGAGCAACAAGGGAGGAACATTGTATATTTGTACATTTAAGGATTTGCTTTCACACAGGAGAGGAAGACTCCACTGGGACATCCACAGTAAAGAAGAAGAAGCAGGTTCGCTTTGGCGGTCCACTCTCCCCTGAGTTCTTTGATAAGGACCTGCCCCCTAGCACCCCGTTACAGAAAGGGGCTGCGCCGGCCCGAGCACCCACACCAGGTGGAAGCTTGCAGCTCCGCTCGGTGCTGAAGACACCGCAGAGAAATGAATCCATTACACCACAATCTCCACCAGACCTCGACAGCCCTACTGTGTTTGGTGCCTCCCCTGTGCTTGCAATGCCTCGCAACCACAGATTGCAATCTGAGGGAGAGGAGACTGAGCAGAAGGATGGAAAGGTAGACAAAATGCCAGAATTGTTTTATTAATAGCAATATTCATGTGATGGGAGGATGATGTTTAAACAGTGCATGTCATAACATTGTAGTTACTGAATTGAAAGTTTACACTGAAATAGTCTGCATGATCAGAGGACTCTCACCCACAAACATCCAAATTGTTCTCTTTGGGTTTTTGCTATTAAATACATTTGGATACACCAACATTAGAGCTGAACAATTATTCAAATCAAAATCACAAGTTGTAATAATGCAATTCACAAATTACCATGGCTGCAACTTAGGATACACAAGGTGTGACAATTAAATAATTAGAAAAACGCTGTAACAAATTTTATTTAATTTGAGCAGATTGACTTGTTCAGTGTGTACTTCATGGTTCAGGCTACACACTGTGGTTTGACTAGCATAAACCCTGCCATTATTTATTAGCCACTTTTCTATTTTTCAGCATGTTTGACCCAAGATTTTAACTGTCGTTTTAGTGGCCTTACAGATTTCTGCCGTCCTCTTTGGGTGACAGTCACACTTGTGATGGTGTCTGTAGTAATGGTCCAGCACATGTTTTAAATCTATCACACTGTGAATACTTCACTGAAGCTTGACTTTAAAAAACTATATCTCTAATCATATCACATTCAATCAGATATTTTCCTCATATTCTTAAGCCCCAATATAAATGTGTTTGTTATCTGTTATCTGGCTCAGTAATAGCAAGATATGATGCATTATCTTGTCTAGACTTTAAATATTATAATCAGCACTTTGTTTTTGGTCTTAGATTGTTTTTCCTTCAATGGAGGAGACTGACTCTGCAGGTACAGGCAATACACTTGATTATTACATTTTATTATCCCTGAGAGAAGTATCTTACTGTCTCCAGTGAAATGCAATTTTTCTATGATAACAGCTCTTTCCAATTGTTGCCTTTTCAGAGTGTACGTGGGATGCCCAGCCGTTGAATTTGAACACTGCTTTCTATGAGGAGTCTCTTTCTCAGATTGTGACAGGTGAACTGCTGCCATAGTTTTTCCTTTTTCATTGCTACCTACTGTCTTCATCTCTCTGTTGCTGCACCCTCTGCTGTCTCCTGACAAATCTGAGAGTGTCAAACAATTAGGTTTGCCAGAATTAAAATTTACGTTTGTTGTGTGTGGCTCAATCAGGTCAGGATTCTCATTTTAGAAGTCAGATTTAAAAACCAGGCCACTCTATGAATGTAGAAACTGGTAAATATCAGGGAGATAGGAATTATAAACATCAACACAGTTCATTATTTGTTGGATTCAGCTGTATCATGTCCACGGAATCCAAATTATCATTGCCTACTGCTCAAGTCTCAAACAGTTGTCATTTCAGCTGTAATACTATTGTTCTTTCCTCAGAATCTGACACCAAACCCAGTACAACCATCCAGATTAATTACCTGGATGAGCCTGCATCCTACCCAGAGGAGGAGGAACTACCTGAAGCAGACGTTGAAGGTCCAGCTCCAGCCCAATCCAGCAACAGGAGCAAAAAGGTCTGCCACAATTTTGAATTTAGTTTAATTTACTTATTTGGGTACGGCATTATGGGGTCAAAAGATGCTTTACTGGTTAAAAAAAAAATACAACATCCCTGGCAAAATTAATTTTTCCCTGTCCTCTAAAGAATCCTGTGAAATGTCCATTCCATTTCATTTACTAAGAACATCTGAATTTCTCTAATTGCAGCCAGGACCAGCACACGAAGCTACTGCTGGGACTGCAGCTCGCTCCAGCAGCAGAAAGAGAAAGGTTTGCTAATACCACAAACTGCTCTCAGCTTGATCTCACTTGTAGAAATCTTCATCTACCAGACAAGATAGTCTTTTTTAATAATTCAGGGGTCATAACATATTCCCATCTAATCTACTGTTTAATTCCACTGCATCTGAACTTAATCACATCCGGGGATTTCCACTTTATCTGTGTGAGAGAGCGTGGCAGAGAGACCGTCTATATAATGTATCCTCAGGCCAACTGTCTGTTCCCCCAGCAGCCGGAGGAGAGTGAACCTGTGAAGAGGTCGACACGGTCTGCTGCCAAGTCAGCCTCTGGGAAGATGAAGGTGAGATGGCTGAGTCTGCTCGTTTGATTTCTCTGTACATCACTTCTCTGAGGGCTCTGCAGACATGTTTTTCTGGAAGGCAGTCATGGAGTTGATAGTTACACAATCTGGCTACAACTTACTTTACTTGAGTTAAGGAAAAGATATGTATGCGGTTATATTTCCTAGAGTTTCCCATACAAAGGTCCACCAGTGACGCACTATCAATCATCTCACCACCATAAATGGAAATTATGAAATCTTAAATTAATTCATACAATTGTGCCACATTATGCTTTAGTGGAGATGCTACACTGCTGTCACGGGTGATGGTATCAACCAGTTTGACAAGGCAAAATAATAGTGTGGCCATGCTCTTATATTGTAGAGGTGCTACAGTACATTTTTTGTCCCAAATTATTCAGGACTAGACGCCATCGGATCGGTACACTCTGTGAGTCAAAGAATTACTGTCAGAATAGTATATTTATGTCTGTGTAATCGCATTCCCAGAATGGAAATAATAACAGGCTGCACACAGAACTGCTATAGCATGACAGTAGGGTTAGCTTTAAAGGCTGGACAGACGCAGCAGCCTTTATTATTCCTGTATATGTTAACACACACTACACATTTTAATAAGTCAGCCAGCCGCCATGTGCAGCTGAACACACAATGGCCGAGCATAAGCACAAAGCCTCTGGTTGGTCGGATTGCAGTAATTCAGACGAGATGGCTGTGTCCTCAGTGGTGTAAAAGGAAGAGAAAGGCTGCGTTACTTTGTGTAAAGTTAAATAGCATTATAATGGACATTTTTTATTTTGTTCAAGTTCTGTTTGAAAAGATATTGGTCAGAATCTTCTGAAGCATTACTGGCGTCTCTGTTATTTTTCCTTCTTCAAAGTCTGCCAGCATTTGAGTGCTTTAACTGCTACAGGAAGAATTATAGCCTGTTAGCCACTACTGAAAGTTTCCATTTTTCAAAATATATGACAAAATGGTATTTTATGCATTTCTTTTGATTTCTCTGCTGCACTAAAAATGCACTTAACCATTGTCTTAAAACTGAAGCATCAACCATGAGTTTTGTGTGCTGTTATACCCTTCAGTGTATTATGACCACCATAATCATATTTTAGACTAAAGCAGGTAATATTGTCTGTTTTCTTCATTTTTTTCCTCTACAAATCCCTTGAAAAAATAGTGTCAATCAACAGTCTATTATTTAACTTTCCAACTTAACCAGCCTGCCTGTAGCACTTCCTACTAAACACTTAAACAAATGTATTAAATAAAATAAAAAATTTGAAATTAAAAAAAAAAACAGCAAAAACAGTCAGAATCAGCAAAGCACAACTTTTTGTGAACAATATTGAGGCAGGAGAAATAGTGCATATGCTAGGAGCTATTTTCTGTGGCAGATGTGTTGACAGCAAGAAAAATATAGACTTACCACTAAACATATCCTTTAAACCTTTTTAAAGGATTAAAGAGATTGATTAATAAATGGGATAGTTGTAATTAACTACAGCTAATGAGTCACAAGAGCTATGCTTCTCGCCTACTTCATACATCGTTCTGGGTGGTAGTTCATCTCATCTAACAATGTGGCAGGTAGTTTGTAGTTTCTAATAAATTCCCCAATGCTTCAAGCCACTTGTTTGAAGGCTGTCTGCAGCCCATATAGCTGTAGATATCCAGACTGGCTCACATTGCTACTCTCTTTACTGAGCTTGCAGTGTCTGCCTTTTCTAGCAGCATTGCAGTTTCTTTTCTTCATCCATAAAGGCTCCCAGCCAGGACTGTGTATCAATCTAAATGGGTTCCTGTTGGTCAACATAGCCAAAAAAAACTTTCACAGGGTTCCCACATGTCCTGGAAAACTTGGAAAATGATTGAGCAATTTTCCAGTCATGGAGAATGAGAAAAAAGGTCAAATGTCCTGGAAACGGGACAACAGGACTTTGCGCCAAGAGACAAAACTCACGACTGTAAGTTGAAAATTGTCACCAGTATTGGTCTGCGAGTGTGAGGCTCCTCTCTGGCCTCCATTGAGTGACAGGCAGGGGAGCAGAGCAGAGTTATACAAAGCATGTTGCTTACTGAGTTGGCTGTGCACTGTGAGATGCAACATATCTCTGATTTCAGCAGAGCAGGAGGTAATTACATTTAACAGGTAATCTTAATGGGCCACGTTTCACCCAGTATTTCACTCTTGTTTCATTGTCTGACAAGAGAAACAAAAATTAAGTGAATGAAAACAACACTAGGAATTCTGTTTTGTTACTATGTGCATAGATAGATGGAGAGAAGAAATCAGAGAAATTAAGGACTTTTCATGTTGACTTAATCTCCCTAATTTCCAATGAAAGTAGTTGCTAACAGGGTGATATGCACACGGAGACCACAGGGAAAAGGGCACCTTTAAAATGAGAACAGTAGGCAGTGAAAATTCTAAATATTACATGTTCATTTGAACCGCTGGCATGGGCATTGCACCCATGGGGGATGTGGGTGTTGTGACACTCGCACTTTTACTTAAACATTGTTTCATTCTGTAGAATATCAGAATCAGAAAAAACTGTATATTTTTTATATATTGACTGTGAACACAGTAATACTGACCTGTCACAGATACCGTAGGTCTGCACATGCACAGTGTGTATTGATGCATCGATACCTGCCAGTATGTACCTGCTGTGTTGTCTCCTGCTCCCTACTCTTCATTGAAACCAAGTTCTGATTTTAGCCAGTCGCCTTTATTACCGCAACATACAACAGTCACCCTCACTACAGAGGTGTGTGGTGGCATCTACATGAACGACATCTCAGCTGAGCGCCTCATGTCTAGAATCAAGCTTTCAGTCAGACTGTCAACCTCTATATAATGGTGACATCATGGAGACAGCTCTCACTACACGCTCCTATGTCAGCTCTGGTAAAGGTGCAGACATGAGAACGTGAATTTAGAGTCCACATGTTAGCAAGCAAACATGTCGACCTAATACGGAGTAAACCATCAACATGTCAGTCTGCAAACACTACACAGAATATCAAAGACCAGAGGTGCTCAATTGTCCTGGCTACTGTTTACATGTCATTGTGCACGTTTTTTCCTCACTAAAACTTTACCCTCTTAACCCTGATCAGTAAATTAAGCTACATTTCGGCATACTCTGGATACATTTGGCATATTTAGGCGTATATTTTGTAGCATTTGGGGGCAGGGCACATTTTGAGTATATGTTTTCATAATCTCACATTTTTGAAAATTTCAGGTATATATTGACATACGAACGGCACATTTTGGTATTTTTCAGGTTCTTTTTGGAATTTCCTGAGCATATTAAGATACATTTTTGGCATATTAAGGGCACATTTTGGCTTCATTCTGTCATTATCTGGGCACATTTTGTTACAGTTGGAGTACATTGTGGCATTTTTGGCCATATTTTTGCATTAAATTCTCTAGGAGGCCAGCGGAGTCATACTAGGCTCCATATGGGCTTAAGAGGTTGAGGAAAAAGGCATTTTTTCTTTTAGCTGTAGTGAACAAAGACCATTAATGTAATTCATGTAATTTACACACATAAGTGAATGCAGAAAAAAAGCACTTCACATTTCTGACTAAATCAAATGCATATTGGAGAAGTGTGGCAGAGAAAAAGGACAAGCTGGAAGCTCTAGTACAATTCAATTCAATTTTATTTGTATAGCGCAGTTTACATCATATGTCATCACATAGCGCTTAATGTAGTAAGGTATAGACCTTACAAATTTAAACAGAGAACCCAACAATCCAAAGTAGACTTTGGACTCCCTCTGAGCAAACGGTTGGCGACATTGGAAAGCCTGCAGGAGAGTGTCAAGAAGCGACAATAGCTGAACAACTTTTTGGGGGAACATTTTTATTAAAATGACATTGCTTTGTTTTATATTGACCTTCTTGCACTGCAGGATAAAAATGTATTTTAGTATTTAGTTATATTTATGACAATTTATGTTTTGCTTGGCTATTTTGGCAGTGAGTTAGATTTTTATTGTGTTTGAGAAGTGCAGGTGCCAGATGTGTAGGAGAGAAACTAAGAGAGAAGAGAAAGTTGAGTTGGGAATTGTCCAGCTGAACATTGTAACTCCAGTTTGTTGTGCTCATTATTACACTGTAATCTGTGGGTGTGTTTGCATTATTCTATGATACATTTGTCATAATTAGTTTTCATAGATAAATTATAGCCATAGACTGCACATCAAATGTCTGAGTCATAAACATAGAAACAATCTGGGTAAATGCAAGCTACAACTGTAGAAAACACTTCCAGAGAATGAGTGGAACAGGGGAATGTATTAGTGTATGATGTGACAACTTGTGTCTGTAGCAGCTGAAAATGTCCTGGAAAAGTCCTGAAAAATAATTTCAGGGAAAGAGTGGGAACCCTGTTTTAGTTCTGCCGTTTCACTCTGCAGAATGTGAGCAGAATCGATTACATTTCTTTACCGTGGTATCTAGATACGACTGCAAAGCTGCAAAATGTCATTCAGATGTGACCCTAATTATTAGAGCATGAACCTGACAAGATTTAATACCCCCTCAAAAATGAAATGGTATATCTCATGGGGTTTATCTTGATACATAATACATATGAACACAGTCATACTGTGTCAGAGGAGGATTAATATGCATTGACCTCAACATGTGCAATGTAGAATCACTGTAACTCCTGTTATAATGTAAATCCTTTGACTATAAGTGGAATGATAAAATGTTTCATTTGTAATTTGTATTATAGTTTGTTTTTCTTTTTACTGCTGATAAACAGAGCCACTAAAACTCTCCTCTGAAAAGGATGTTTGTGTACTTGTTGAGGAAAATAAAACAGTCTGCAACAAATCAATTCAGTATAATCACATCCCTAGATAATTAGTGCAAGTATTGATTTAGATGTACAAGAAATAATCATAAGTGGATGCTGGCCAGCTAACAAACAAAATTCTTTTTGACAGTAGAAACTTTTTTAATTTTGTTCTACAGGCAACCTCCACAGCAGCTCGTCGCTGGAACAGGGATGTGGACCGCTCGCTGTATGGCTCACGTGCATACGCCTCCAAGAATCCCACTCTGAGTCCCATCACCGAGAGGCTGTCATTCATCAGGCAGTCTCCAGCAGCACAGCAGACTCTTTCTATGAGCTTCATGGGTAAAATACGCAACCAGTAACCAACTTTATCTCACAATGAATAACAGCTTGTGAGTTTACTTGTATGCTGTCAGGCTGAAAAAAAATATTGTCATCCCTGTCATTTCTTTTTTGTGTGTAAGTTTTTTCATAACATATAATGTGTCTAAATCTATGGTTGACAGTCACATAATTTATGTTTGTTTAGGTTAGAACTTTTGGAGGGTAGCAACCAAATTCATTCTCCTGATGTTGTTTTGTCCTCATTTCTCCCAACAGACGCAAATCAGGAGACCCGCCTGAACCCTGAGATGGCTACTGACACTCAAGTGATAGCTGACCTTGCTGTGACAAACACCTTGGAAACTGCTTCACAAGATCCTTTCACATCTCCTAACTCTAGTGAAGAAAGTGCCACAGGGAAGGGCAGGAGGCTTTGTGGGTTGAGGGAAAGAAGAGGAGGGCTGAAGAAAAGGAAGGTCAGTGCTGCTGACAGTGACCTGACAAGTGAGGAGCTTCTAGATCAGACTGGAGGAAAGACAGAGCAGCCCTGTGAAGAGCAAACCGCGACAAGCCTTGAGGTATCAAGGGGAACCCCATCAAAAGACACTGTGCCTGAACTGGGAGGTGTTGACACTGAAGAACTTTGTGCCCAGATTTGTGCAGATATTCCCTGCACAGACTCAGATGGGAAATTAGAATATCATGCACCCACCTCAGACTGCTCAACTTCAGCTAAAGAATCCAGCAACACAAAAGCAGCACAAAGAAAAGCCATAAAAAGCTCAGTCCTACAGGAGCAGCAGAATCACCTAGAGGAGCACCAAACCAGCCATGAAGGGGAGGAGAAGGGACAGGGAGATCAAGCAGCTAGCCAGCAGGGAAACACTCAGTCAAGCTCTGCTAGCCAGGAGGACGGGGCTGTCTCCGATGTAGCACTCGCCCCCTGGCAGGCTGATTTCAATTTTGAGGATGTGTTCAAACCTGTAGCCACTAGAGGGCAGCGCTCAGTGCGCCGCAGCCTGAGGAATCAGAGCAAGGCTGAGCACAGCAGCAGTGCAGGACTCGCCTGGCTGCCTCGTACGTCCCCGGACTCCAATAAAGAGGCCCGCAGGAAGACCCGAGGCCGACGGCTCAGTGCTGCTCTACCTGTTCAACCTTCACTCCCCGAGGAGGCACAGATCACCTCCTGAGATCATCTGGTTCTCTGAATGAACTGAGAGTAAAATAGGGTAACTAATACATTCATTACACGGTCGTACATCCCAACCTATTTTCTTAAAATAAAATGAAATGATTTTCGAAAGAAGAGGCTGATTGTTTTACAACATTGATGCTTTTGTTCTCTGTGAATTATCAGAGCTGACCAGTAATTTGTGTCAGGTTTCCCTCCACTAACCAAGACAGTCAATACACTGAGAGCCCAATCATCTCTGCTGACCACCTCCTAATCAATATCCAACCACTCAGCTGGTAATCACAGTGCATCTTCAGCCTCTCCAAAGTCACTGGATCAGGCATCTGCAAGTCAATATCTACTCTAGTGGATAGATGAAGATGGCTGCACTGCATTCACCGTATGTCAGCCAGTGGAATAGTAATGGAGGGAGAGAACATGCTTTACACACAGAGCTCAAACTAATATGTTCAAATAATTCACGTTCTTTGTGATTGCTGGGTTGCGGGGGTGTTTTGTTTGCTTTATTCATACGGTTGAGTTAGTATATTCTGAATGACTGTTTAAATCTGCCTTGAAAGATTCTGCTTCTGATGAAATGCTTCCGTGTACAGACAACACAGTTGAGCAAAATGTGCTCATTTGAACAGATGATTTAGACTCATTTGGAAGGAATTCATCCGTATAATAAAATGGCCATTGTGTCCACAAATGTGATGTTCCAGCTGTGTGGTCACTTCAGTTCAAGTACAGCAGCTTTCCTTTTGCATAAACTAGGACCTTTTGCCATAACTGAATGAATAGCTGTGTAAATTACCATTCTGATCTACATTTTGAACGCAGCCAAATGCCTGGAAGTAAATTGACCTCTAACCTCGAGTTCAACCAGTTATAGATTCAAATCAGCTGCTCTTTACTGACTCCATCCATCTGTCAGAGATGAACGGAGAGAGCAGTAACAAATTGAGTTTCAAATTCAGTTCACATAGGAAAATTGGCTCCCAGAATGATGCATGACTGTAATCTATCCATCACTGGGTAATTGACTCCCTCCTTTTACATCGAGTCAGAGTCACTTGGCTGAAGGACACCAGAGGTTTCTGGCTCCATAGCGTGTGCCAAGGTCTCGTCTGTATTCCCACTGGAAGACGGATGGACATATTCATACACGAGTTGATGTGCTATGTAGCTGCGGCGGGGCCACGCTGCCATCTGCTGGTCGATTTTAAAAGTTGCACGTAACCACTTATTCATCCGTCAACTTGATCAACTAAGAGGAGATGAAAGAAGTCTCAAGAACTGATCTTATCACTGGCAGAGGAAATAATTAAGTAGATGTGTGAAAGGGTGTTTTTATTAGATGATGCTGCTCAACAAAAAAACACCTAAGGCTGGTGTTGATTTCTTATTTATTCTTTTTTTTTTTCCCAACATCATGCGCCCAAGTTATGACTGCAGGCCTCATCCCCACCTCCCCTTCTCATTTTAAAACTTGTTACGTTTTTGTGAATCGGCGGTTTTATTGTTTGAGTATACAGCTGAACTGCTTCACTTCTATACAAGTGGGTGTTGGGTGTGTTGTCTGTGTTGGGGAGAGCGCGGGAGAGTGTGTGTGTGTGTGTGAGAGAGAGAGAGCGAGAGAGAGAGAGAGAGGGGTGTGAAGCCCCTGTCCCTGGCAGACGGGCATGGTGAAGACGGCTTAACACAAGAACAATGGGGTCCTTTGACCAAAACGACGCCCCCAAGACATGTGGCCTCCTGTCACCGTGGCAACCCCCCATGGGACAGAGAGCGGGGTGACAGCTGGAGAGGAGGACTTACAAAAATGGAGTCCATTTCTTTCCACTGAAACTCCCCTGCTCTATATCTTTTCCCTCTTCTCCCTGTCCTCCTCTACACTCGGCCCTTATGAATGTGGGTTACATCTCACTTTACAGCTTCATGCGATTGACCTTACGGGCTTGGCTCGCCACCTATAACTCAGACAAAAAAAAACTGAGTCAGAGCCAACAATAAATCAGGTCTTTATGGGCTCTTGTTGCTGTCAGTAATAAGAGAGCATTGAGCTCATTGACAAATACGGAGCAGAGCCACGAGATTTCACACTCACTGTACACTTGATTTTACGCCTCATTTTAAAACGGATGACCACTTTCTGTACAGACACAAAGAGGGATAATCAGTTATTTGTACTTCCAGATTTAGAGACTTTGGTCTTTCAATTAGTTAATTAGTAGCTGAATGGTATTAAGTTGTCCCGCTGCCTCGGCCCTTTCTGTGCTCAGTGCTGTGAGCTTTCTATTATTGATGCTCAGAGGCACGATCTCTAAGCCCAGCACAGCTCTCCTACGGAGCTAAAGACAGCAGGAGGAGGGCCGCAAAACAAAGGCAGGACAACAACAAGAGAGCCTCTAGCTACTCGGTTTGGTTTGCTGCCTCGGTGTGTCTGCGTGCTACAGCTGTGACTGGCTCAAACCTGCTTCAGAAAGCTGCAGACTTCAGACAATGAGGTGGACAAGAGAGTTTACATGTTTTTAAATTGAAAAGTGCACCATATGTTCAGTCATGTAGTCATGCACATTCACACCTTTATAGTGTCAGCTGTGCTGGTCCCATTCAAGCCATCAGTCATTTTAGACTGGTGCTACTTTTTTCAAACTTTGTGCATCTTATAGCTACAGTGCTTTTTTTTCTTCTTCTTCTTTTTGCACAAAAACATTTGTTTTTCATCACGTTTGGTCTTAGGGTTTTCATCTCTATTTAAAAGTCAAACTTTCTTAGGTTAGCTTTATTGGATATTTTTATTGTTGTGCACTTTTGCAGATACCTTCCACAAATGAAAGTTTGTATAATTGCTTTTTCAACTGCTTCTATAAATTCTGATCTGGCCATCGATTAAACCCTTACAAACTCATTTTTGTTTAACAAAGTTGCATATTTTGAGGCCTTTTTTTCTGTACAAATAATCCCTTTGAGTAAAAATGGCTTCAATATAACTCCACTGTTATTTCCTCTAGAATGTGCAGATCTATGAAGTTGTTGCCTCTCTCTCTCTCTCTCCCCACTCGTCCCCCTCCACTTGCTGCAGCTTCATCACACCAGCTCACCTACAACTTTGCTCAAATACTGTGAAATGACATGACACAATGGCAATCTGTACTGTTGGAGTCATTCCTCCACACGCACCAGAATCTGATTCTGAAGACGAATGATGATACAGAAAGTCCAACCCCACAAGATGACGGGATCGGTTCCTTATGGCCTCTGTTCCACTAACTTCTGAAGCACATTTTTATTAGTTTACTTTCCATAAGAGTTTCACATCAGTAACAGCCGTTTCTATAAAAAACTAAAAAGTTTGTAATTTTCACAAAGTTAAATCATCATTTTAAGAGCACAGAGAAACTCTCCGGCACAGCAGTGTGAGTACTCGGATCATAACTTGGTTCAATTCCAAAAAGCTCTTTTCTGAAGTCATCTTATAAACTTCCTTGTTGTAATCTGTGCTGTCAGTCCTCTCTGCCCTGCAGTTATCACACACATATCTGAGCTAACAGCGACCCCTCGACATGACATTTAGCCCGTAAAGACCTGAAGTTTGTGAAAATGGTGTTTGTTTGGCCGCTAAAGGCACACTGTGGAGAACAGCTTAGTTCCCAGGATGTACTTTAAGTTATTAAAGTAGAAACAAATGCCAAAGGGGATTTTGAATGAGATTTTGTTACTTCTGGAGTAGAACCTGAAAGTTCTGGTTACATCTTGGCTCTGTGTAACATGTCTCCTCAGGTTACCTCAGTTTAATCTACAATTCTTTCTATTTGTGTCACATTAAATGGGAACTCCAGTGATTTCACACATCAAAGTCTGTTTTTAGGTTGTGGAGTGCTGCTGCATGTGTGTAGAAAACCGTCTGCAATCTGATGAAACGCCTCAGGTGATGCCACATGAGGTAGCGTCAACTGGGGCTGAAGTTTACAAACCTAAAGACGAAAGTGAAAGAAAAATCTGGAGGTGTGGAGCTGGAAAGATGTGAGCTTATCAGAGCTGTGTAGCCTGCTGCTCATCTCTGCTGCTGGCAAGCATCTTCAGGCTATTTTAGCATATTGCACCCAAACCTCCATCTTCATGGTTAGCCGTCCAGCTGCAGTGTGGGTAATGTAATCACCGGGATCTGATACAGAGGAATTCTCTCTGAGATGACCAATTATCTCAACCATAATCTCTTGAATTTATTACAATTACAGGTACCTTAATGCTGCATGGTTAACTAGACACTGATTTATTACAAGAGATGAAAAAAGTACTTCCTTACAGTTAGTAAAAGTACCAATACCACAGTGTAGAAGTACTTGTTCCAAGTAGAGGTCATTAAACCCCATTAAGGAATTTTGGGGTCTGTTGGACGCCAAGCCATTTGGTTTAGGTGACCGGTATTGTTTTTTGTTTTTTTTAATTTTTGAAAATGTATATATATATATTATTATATATATTATATATTTGTCATGCATTTGGAACCAAAAATACATCAGCTTATCAGAAAATGTATTTAACATAGCATAAAAGTCTATATTGAACACCAACAAATATTTTGCACATACTTGTGGACCCTGAAAAGACCTTCTGCGTATGGCAACATTAAAGTCCTGAATAGGGTTAAATATACACTTTAAAGTAAAAACATGTTAGCACCAAAATACCCAAAGTATCCAAAGCACTCATTATGCAGATTGCCATATTTGAGAATAATGTGCAGTATGTGCACTAATAATTACAGTTGAATCAAAACCTATTTGTTGATTCTATTGTTTTTTGTATTTTTGAATTAAATCTACGAAGTAACTAGGACCTGAAGTTGTCAAACAAATATAGTGGAATAAAACTATTACTAAACTGTTCACTTTTAGCAGAAACATTTGTCATCAGGTGCAGAGTAGGAAACACTGAAGACTACAGATGAATGAGTTTAAATGTGCCACATGCATCCGATGATGCACTAAGAGAAGCTTTGTCTGGAAAAACTGAAGGTAAACCATACGGTAAATGGTCTGTACTTATATGTAATTAGATTTTTTTAACCTTAGTAGTGTTTTACATTGTTATTCTTGTTCACACACAACGTTCTCTGGCCTGCCATTGGGAGTAACTTGGGGTTCAATGCCCTGCATGAGGACACTTCAGCGGGCAAAGAGGAGAGAACTGAGATCAAACCGCTAACCCTGTGATCAGTGGACAGCCTGCTCTCCCACCTGAGCAACAGCCGACCAGTGCTGTCAGCGTTGAGTGTTTTCTATTACAGAGGACCCAGAGAGCTGCCCAGTGACATACCTGCACAAATCCCCACAGTGTCTGGACGTGTCTGAACTCGACTTGCTCTTGACTGAATCAAGGGGGAAACTGGGTGTACATAGAAGAAAAGCGGTGCCTCTCTGAATGTCTCAACATACAGTAGATACTGTTAAAATCCACTGTAATCCCCTGAATGAATGCACGATCTCAGTGTTGCAGGAGATTTGGAAGTTATCAAACAGGTTTGATTGTGTTTTAGATGATTTTACGCTTTACTGGATATAACCGTATAATGAGTAAATATCTCTACTGGGGGTGATGATGTGTGTGTTTTTTGTTATACGTCTTGGTAATCTCCAGAGTGTTGAGGAAAACTTAACGATCAGATATTACCCGTTTTATATTCACAGAGACATTCTGAATCTGCACAA